GAATTACACTAAAAGAAACTAAACTCAGGTATAAATATAATATAATTTTGATAAATTTATTAAAGTCAACCATCACAGAGTGTAACACTGCAGATACGTTTTTATCGAAACAGTTATAACGGTGAAGCAGACATAATATCATATAATATATTACCTATTGTATTAATATTGTGGGTTTTATACTTTTATATGGTTTATAAAGTTTATTTATGTTCATATTTTATGCACAATTCCACCCGTTCTCAACAAAGAATAAGTACAATATGTGAACAAAACATGAAAAAAATCGATTTTATATAATATTATGCTTTATGCATTTTTACAAGAAAAAATATTATTCGTTTCACCAGGATTTATCAAGGACGGGTAGTTGAGAAAACTCACGTTCTCTTTAATGTTTTATTTATCATACACATAAATACGGAGTTATCTATTTATTGTAACACTCACATTTTAAAAATATTAATTTTTTTGAAGTTATTTCTTTTGTATATTTTTAAGCCGTTACTGCAAAACAAAATTTTTATTATATTATTCGTTCTTATTTTTAATTGTGTTATTGTTTTGAATGAAAACCATCAACCAGTATTTAATTTGCAATTTATAATTTCATATTTCAAAGTTAAATATTATTCATAATATTCCATTGTATATAAATTCAATTTTGGACAAATGGTTTATGTGTTTTAACTTTATAAATAGGTATTTAAGGTATTGATGAACAGAGTGGATTGGTGAGATCTACGAAATACATCAAAAAATATATTAGTCCACTACTTAATTAAATCGCTCATTTAAACTTTAAATGTTTTAAATTTAACTTAACAGCTGCTTGTTAAAAATTTGATTACATATAATAGAGAAATACTTCAGACAGTTGTGTACTTAGGTATTATCAAATAAAATATGTTTATGTTGTAATTTTAATATAAATACTTAAAAAGTGTTTAAAATAATTTTATTTGTTGAAAAATATCTATTGACACAATATTGCTTAACATACAGTGTATTCGTCGTTTTAATTGTAGGTATGTGTTCATGGATGTAATATTTTGTAATTAAGAAAAAAAAAATAAAGGAATTGTGAGAAATTTTATTACAAGCGTTCAAATTGTATTACTACATTTTGTCGTGCTATTAAATAATATAAATAAATTATAATTGATTTATAAAAACAAAAATAATCCTATGACTGTACATATGAGGCGTAAGATAAGACTGATTACGTTTCATTTTATTTCTACCATTATACTAGAACAATTATAAATGTATTGAATTAATTGCATTCAATTGTCCATTACCGTGAATAATAATAAAATAATAAGTTTATTAACTACCTGAAATTAAAAAACGGAACAGATGTGGAAAGTAAACTTATCAAAAAAATTGTCCGAATTTAAAAATATTTTAATGCAGTTAGTTTGCGGTCTCTTAGAATCTGAGCTTGGTTACCGCCGTACTTCGTTTTTTCGAGTTTGCGTATATAAAATGTAACGAAACACCAGGGCCGGGTTATATATATATATATATATATATATGTATATATATATGTATATAGTTAATGTCTTACGCGACAGTACAATACCTAATGCATATTATCTATAATATAGATAATTGATATACCGAGACAAAGCAAACTTTTTTGTCGCTACAGATCGGAATGGCACCGACGACAGCGTAATATTTTTTGGGCTACAAAACGGCACTCGGTGAAAATCAATATCCGTTTTGTGAGGACACGAAATCGGGCAGATAGTCGCACGGCCGGCGACACGCTTTGGGACTGCGGCAAAATATTACATAAAGCTCCATGTGGATTTGCACCCAGCTCCGCATGTCTGCATCCACCAGCCATCGTGATGTTCGTCAAACTTCACTGGCGCTGCGGTATGCCACCTTATAGGTTCACAATATATTAATATATATTATAACATGTGACTAATAAATTACATAATATCGAAATATATGCGTCACCGTCGCGAGTGAAATACCCACTCGGAACGTCACTCGTTAAACACTGTAAAATACCATATAGCACAACTACGCGAGAATCAGTAAAATGTAGTTTGGTAAATTATCATTATACGCGTACTGCGGCCTATAATACATATACTGTGCGCGCTGTGCAGAGCGTCATTACGTTAGGTATGCGAGAGGTTAAATCGTCCTTGTGAACATCGATCACAGGATAACGCAGGTATGTTTTTTCTAAAGACGGCTACAATAATGCAGCCGTACAGGCATAATACTATAAACACTGTGGATTTTAAATTGGTAAGGTATTTAATATATATTGTACCTGCGATTCCGTTCGGGTTTATCAAAAAATTACAACGTGTGAACTAAAAAATAAGAAGAACCCGTTTTTAGATATGAAGAACAGCCTGCCGATTTGAGAATATGACAAAAAACAGAATAATTATATGTACCTACAACCTGTAGTGTTCAAGTCACAGTGTATCTCACACTCTCCGAGTCTAAAATATATTATCTAGGCACTTGAACAAGCCTTAAACTTTCAGAACCAATAACAACAATTCTAAAAAACCATCCACTTCTAATATTATTAAATTTATAAACACAGCCAATTTTTAATTTAAACTATAATAAATCAACTAAAAGCATCAATTTATTCGACGTATAAATTTATTTATTTCTATAAATTGTATTTTTTAATTATTAATAGAATACCGAATGAATCTTATTGGGTCTTTACTAAATAAAAAAAAAAATGAATATTTTTATCCAATAGTATGATGCGTTATTCATTTCAACAAAATAAAATATTATTTTTTCACTAGAATTTTTCGAGGGTGGAAGTTTAAAAAACGCACATTCTCTTCGAATGTGTTTAACATTTATGTGGTTTTGTATTATGCATGTAAAAAATTAAAGGCTCATGGCTTTTTAACTACAGCTTATAATATTATACTATAATTACAATAATAAATAACAACGATCATTTACCAAAACTTTTCTTTAAACATTTATAATATGTAAATATATAAATGTAGTCGCGTTTAGAACAGGCTTATTTTAACACTACAAAATATGTTATTTGTGCATTATAAAATATTTTTTTGTATCTTGGTCATTTTATTTGGTTTTTATACAATTTAAATGTGTAAAAAGTTAATACTTATATTTTTTAATATTCAGAACCTATTAAAAAACTTTTAACTTTTATCATCCAAAAATAAAATATTAAATGTAAAAAATTTATTTAATAGAAAAACATTATAATTTATTTAATTTAAATTTAATATTTTCAAAAAAAAAGTATATCAAAATATCATGATAGCTGTTTGATAATTGAATTGTGATTATATAAAACGGTTCTGCTGTATATAAAAATTAACAGTTTTTTGAAAATATTCACTTCCACATTTATCTCATAATTTATAAATAATAATAGCATTCAAAGTTTTAATTAAAATTCAAGTTATAAATTACTTAAAAAATAAGCATGAATTGCATTATTCTATAAATATGAGAAATAATATTATACATATTTCGATACAATAAATTGTTTAACATTTTTTGTTCATTATTTAAGTTTGATTTTTTTTATATATTATTAAAAAGTGATTAATGTATATTTTACGCAAAATAAAATTTATGACTGGTGTGATGTGATGTGATAGTAAAATTAATATTGCTTAAAGCTTAAAGCCTAAAGGCAAAGTTAAACAACGATTAATTAAAATTTAGATTATGAAAATAGCGTAATTACTACTAAATATGATAGCGAAAGTTATAAACTATTACGTTAAAAATATTATTTTGCATTATGAGTTGATACATTAGTATATGTATGTTAATGTTTTTTTCGTCTTTCAATCTAGTTTTACATTTGTTGAAATTGACCATAATAGATGATACGTAATATTTTGATCATATTAATGTACATTATTTTTAATTTAATATATAAATATATAATTTATATTACCTATACTCGAGTACTCGGCTGTGTAGTAAATTACGGAAACAGGAATGAATTCAATAAAATACAATTTAAGTATTAGCTGTTATTTTTTAAATTTTTATTTTAAGATTAGATTAGATACATTAATTATTTGTGTCGGTTTTTTTTCAGTATTAAAAAAATAGTTTAACGCCTCCACAGTCGTCATATTAATTTCTTAGAAACGTTATCTTTAATTGCAATCATAATAATTGCATTAGACGCAAAACTGTGATCGTATATATATATAGGTATATATAATACATAAATTCATACATATATATACATACATACGTTCATACATATATACATACATACATACATACATACATACATACATACATACATACATGCAACATTCTTACAGAGATCTTAACCTCGGACGACTGAACAGTTTTCCTCCAAGTAGACCTCCCGCATAAACATTCCACCCAGTAATATTAAATCATTAATATTGACTATTGCTCATATTCCGTTGGATTTAATAAATATTTTATTCCCAGGTCTAAAATCATAAGATTATTTTTAAGAAGTATCAGCTAGATAAAACTTTTTAATAATATAATGATGTGTATCATGAAAATAAATAACAATACTGTGTGCATATCTACACAAATCATCATTATATGTAAAAAAAGTAAAAAATAATGTAGTCCGTTCTTCGTAATCTTCGATTGGTATAAGCAGAAAAAGGAAAAATTGTTTAAACCTCGCAAACAACAAATTTTTTCACTTCTGTGATTATTGATTATCTCATTATATAAAAATATTATACTTAAAAATAATTACTTTCATGAAATTTATAATTGATTGAGGTACAAAACTTTTGAGGATTTCTATACGGTAAAAATAATTAATTGCGAACAGATTGGATACATATTTATCAAAAAAACATAAATAAAAATATTGCAATTTGCACTCTAACTACAATATGTTATAGTATGTACCTTTTAGGTTTTATTCTTGCACTCGTGATTGCATGGATCATTGATTCGGTTGATGAGGTGGCTGTCGCCCACTGGAAATCGCGTGGCCCCCTCAAACGCCTACCCGACGTTTAATAACATGATATTTACACCGTTTATGAGGATCGTTAACGCGCTTACGTATCACCTGAATAATATCATATTATAGTACCTAATATGTTGTACAGTCATTTTCAGCAACAATAAATCGATGTACCGGTCGGATCGGATCTTTGTACGGTGTTGAATCCAGTTTTGCACGCGGTTTGTTTGTTTGTACGCAAGATTCAGGCGTCCACTTTTGAATTACTAAATCTCTTTTTTTTTTTCAATAATATTATTCGTGTTCATACTCTCTTTTTTGATAACTAAAAATCATAATGTATAAAATGTGAATACTATAAGAATAATATAGACATTGTTACATTAAGTTACATTCATGACACGAGTCCACTATGGGATTGATGAACTTATACTCAGTGGTGGGTGCACCGTGAAAGTAAAAGCATAAGTAACGCATTAACGTAAAAATTTAGAAATGCGTGCATTTAGGATTACAAGAACTACAAGAAAAAAATGAATATTAGAGTAAATCACGATCGAAAGTCCTTACAAATCCGACGCATAACCACTTAACAGTTTTAATTACCTATTAGATGATTGTTTTATTATTGTAAACGGTTATAAAATGTTATCATAAATGACAAATAAATTGTAAAACCTTTTACTGACTTCTGGTCGTCGACTATAATAATGGACTCTTATAAAATTTTTGGAACGTCGATCGTAACAACACCTAGGTTCCATTATTTATACAGACACGTAGGTATAAGCAACTTATTATTACTTATTGTATAAGCTACGTAAGATACCTACATCTTATTCTTTTCCATCAACGTTATCGGAGTTTTTGTTACACAAAATTTCAGGCATGGTAGGTATATCATAAATCATAATTTATCTACTCACGGATTGATACCCTTGTCCCTTAATAAAGTAATAAATATGTGGTCGTATTATAATAATAATATGGTGTTATATTTTTAGACGAATATCGTTTTTCATCTTGTTGTTACTATTAATTAGTTTTGAACAGTTTGAGGTGTCTATTGTAATATATTATCGTAGGTACGTTGACGCGAGTACAAAATTATTACGTATTATGCTTTCAAAATTGTAATTTATCGTGTGCTGTAAATTTCAAAATCTCAAGTCACTAATTGGGGGGCGTGGGGGTCAAAACCTACCGCATAATAACATAATATTATAATGAGGCGTGTATAAAAACCTAATACAATATAATATTATTATATACTAGACTACCACCACCGGTTGGCAGGGGGTGATGGCATACAACCCACGTGTGTGGAACGCGTGTGTGCACATACGATCGTGGGGCTGTGCAGGCATCCACCGGCCGTAGCGGCGGCGGCGCGCATGTCCGGTCAGACGCAGACGACCTTGTAAGGTCGTGCGTGTACTCTCGCCGTGTGTGCGAGCAGCAGTGAGTGTGTGTGACCTTGATGGCGATCGCCGGACGTTTACCTCGCCGCCGCCGCGGTTGTCAAGACCGGTTGCATCGTCCTCCTATTATATTATATTATAAATAATAATATTGTGTTATCTTTCCGCTGGAACAAGGATCGTTGATCGAGCCGCCGACGGGCACCTGAGCGTTACGCGTGTAGAAAACTCGAGAAAACGTCGTCTGATAACAATTTTTTAATACGTACCCATACCGCGTGCGATCGGTTGACGTGTACACGACCGATCTATCAGCTGCTTTTATCGCCGACCGTCAACGGAAAATTTTCAGAATATTTTTACCGATGGGAAGTTCTGCCGCGGACACGTCGGCTGCGCGTAGACTCGCATCGTTCACCGTTACGTCGGACGACATTAACTGATGCACTCTGTACCACCTCCGTCCGACCCCTCCAACCGACGACAACACGGGATATGGCTCGTCGAGTGTCGTATGTGTAATGGTGTTTTTTTTCCTCTCCAACGCGGAAATCTCCGCTGTTTTCTCCGCGTGATTCGTGATGTGAGCGAGTATCGCGTTTTGTTTTGTTTTGTTGTTTCGTACATTTCCGCCAAGACTGCGGCAATGTATTATGATGATTATAATAACAACAATTTACTACCCGATGGTCGTCAAAAAACTACCCATCAACGCGATCAGGCTACATAGATCGTAACACTGTGACGCAAAGCGTTTTATACAAATCATATGATAATATAACATTACACGTGCAGTATACATGTGTAGCTGTATTTTATGTTAGCTGAGGTATACATCATAATAAATTTTAAACGTTTATTATATTATATTATGTGGCGTGTACGGCCGGGCAATCGTTTTCCGAAGGTCGCGGTCTTTTAGAATCCAAAACATTATACTTTCTTTTTATGTATATATAATATTATAATAAATATATAGTATATATATTATGATGTATCCAAGGGAAATTCTTAATTGCATGTTTTGATGAATCTATTGAATCTGTATATTGACGTTGATTACGTGTTTACACGTGTGTTTTTATTCGCCCGAAACGCGATACATTGTTTAGGACCGTGAAAAAGCCAACGTGGAACGTTCCTCTTGCCGCAAACCACAGCACTCGTAGCAGTATATACATTCTGTCGATTACTGATAGCAAATACGTGAATGCAGTTTTCTTTGAAACAATTATTATCTAAAGCACTAATTTGTTAAAATAAGATGCCACAGTTATTATTTACTGTTCAGTAAATAATTATAACTAAGCAATTAATGGACCTCAAACGTTTATCGATATCTACACCATTGCATTACTGCTATCATAATGCCAGACAACAAATAATTCACTCACAAAACACATTTCAATATCACACAAAAATACCGATCCTGTAAATATCTGTAAATGTAGATAGCCTAGGATGTGTGATAAGCTAGGAATGTCTTGTTTTAATATAATCAAAATATATCACACATTTTACTAGAACGTTTTGAGTTTTGAATAAATTCTTCAATTTTGGTACAAAAAAATGACTGCGAATAACGTTGATACTCAGTTTAAACGCTTAAAACGTTCAAACGTATAATTGTATAGTATATTCAATGTCTTTTAAGACTTTTTCCTCTAATTTTTTTTTTTTTTTTAAAGGGTTGGGTAGTAGTCGGTAAGTCTCCTAATTATAAATATAATATGATAATCAATAGGTAGTCAATACGTTGATCTGAAATATAATATAAATAATATAGTTGTATTATATTATTATGTATTAATTATATCAATTTATGTTAGCTACTTCCCCCTTCGCTATTTTTAAATCTTTAATGTAGGTTCTTGATATATCTTTCTTTACTTCTATAAAATGTTCAATTCACCACGCCTCTGCTGATTTAAGTCATTCTGCAGAATATTTTTTCTTATGAAATTATTACCATTTAACTTCGTGTACGTTGAATTTTACAAGTATATTATTATGTACATCTATCGGTAAGATTATTTTTTACAACTGGTATCTTATTTAAACAAAATAAGCTATATCATAAATTTAATATTTAACTTTATACTTTATAAGAAGTATTGTAATGATATGATAGCCAATGGTTTAAATCTCTTCAAAAAAAAAAAGAAAAATGTCGATAAGATAGTATTATTTTAATAATATATACTCTATATTTTTAAAGAGGATTATTAAATATACTTACTAATTTATAAGACAATAAAATAAATAAATCATTTTTTTTTTTTACCTAATTCTGTAATGTCGAGATTATATTTTAACTTAAAAACGTTATGTCCCCGTTAGATAAACTCAGTCATCTTTTCTTAGCAATAGAAGCGTTTAAAAATTGTATTATATTACAAAATTATCGTTAATGAAGTGAAGCTATAATAAGTGATGTGTGATGCGTGCATACTCAAGTACATAGATATAATGTATTATTATACCTGCACTATTAATAATGGTCTCCATTGCAGTCATTATATGACGTGATTAAAAATTAAAACTATGAACGAAATAAAAATGATTTTATTCAAACATCAGTGATACTTTTTGTAAAAGACAAACCCGATTTAGTTCGACATCCTCATAATACGTTATGAGTGCCCGATTGAATGACCACATATTAAACGTAAAATTTCATGAAGTTTTATTTGTAGTGATATTGAAATTTCTACGATAAAAATGGTTTATAGACTTATAGTGTATAAAGTATGTATTATATTCTAGATTTACTTTACGTGGTTTTGATTTCCAACAACACCATTATCGTTTATTGTCAATTACTGGTGCAGGTTCACAGATAACGTCCTCCACGCGTATACTATTATATTTATATATTGTAGGTGAGAGCCACTAAGAGTAAAGTTAACAATACTATACGCCGTTCGCTTAGTCGTTGCAACATGCATTGTATCATTGTATGGTATCAAACGTTTTTGTCTTATTTATTGTTAATTACCATTACAACTATTACAAATGTGCATTAAGTACAGATTTCTAGAAAATCCAATACGCAGTCTATATTGGAATTGGGAAACTAGATACTTTCGTATACGAGTAGTACGACGATGACGAAAACCATAATATTGTGTATAATATGCACTCATAAAATTTCTTCACCGCCGGAGAATGCGGATAGACGCACGAAATTCATAAACAAACTCGGACGTCGGTGATAACTGATAGCGATAATCCAACATGCGCATATATTTTACTAAAACACATATTTTATCAGTGAGATAGATATATTTTAGTCGTATCGACTATCGAGGTCGTTGATTCTAATATTTCGGTTCGACAATCGTCTACACACGAACGACTAATAAGACGTTTGTATTATTTTGTTTTTTTTTTTATCGCCGCGTTGTTGTATAACATCATACACTATAGGTACAGCAGACTATATAAAATATACGTATTAATTTTCAAAACCATGTTCTTAAAGTTAATATATTATTTAAAAGGTATTCTATAAAAAAATGTTATTGATAAATTTAATTACATAAAATAAAATTAAGAAAATGAATACTTCTTAGGTATAGAAAATTACAAAAAAGTATTGTTTAACATTTAACGTACATAAAATGGGCAGTTATGTGAAAATAAATTTAGACCTACCAACAATTTTTATACTATTATAGATTACGTAGATATACAAAGAACATACTATTTCTTTAGTCTTATTGTTATTTCTATCATATTTCAGCTATTATATATTACAAAAAACTAAAAAGTATTTAAGTACATCATATAATATTTAAAAATGAATTTACTACTATAAAAACATTAGTTATATTTAGTAAAACTCATTTTTAATTCAATTAAAAATATTTTTTTAACTCGAAGTATTTACTAATGGCATCTAATATGTACGTGAAATCATTAAAGCTCATAAACCAAAAAAGTATTTACAATTAAACGTTTTTAATAGCCCAATAAACCTTGTAAATATATAAATATATATAATATGTTTGCAATAACAACTAAGTAATTATTAAAGATAATTTATAAACGTCATAAAATTGCTTTTTGTTTAAATCATAACAAAAATTATAAATTCCTAATATCCATATCAACAAAAAAGCTTTAAAAAAAAAAACTTAATTTCTTTGTAAAATTATAAAATATGTTTGCACATAACAAGTGAATATTAGACAACTAGCTATAGGTACATTAAACAGAATAAAAAATAAATACGTATGCATTTTCAAATACTAAAAAAAAAAAAGACAAAATGCCATTACTATTTAATTAGTTTCATAAAATAATAATAAAAAACTTGAGTTGTTGCTCTTTAATGGTGTATGTAGTATGTTTTATGTGTATATATATTATTTATTTGCATATAATATTATAATAACGATCAATGATAACACAACTGCGTTGTTTTCTTTCTTCTGTGTGAATAAATACTAAAAAAATCCATCAATCTCATCCGCGTGGAGTGTTGCGAAATAATCGTGACCAAAGTGGAATTCGTGTACTTATAATAACTTTTGTTAGTATTAAATATATGTAATATTTAAATGGTTAAGTAACTGTTGATTGATTTTTTTTTTTTTTTACAATTTACTATCAGAAAAAATTTGCCGTTATAAAATTAATACCGATTATGTCGATTAAATAGTTTACCAATTATTTAAGTGTTTTAATTGTTTAAAGTTTGTAATCGAGTAAAATGGTTGGATGATAAATTATAGGTTATAATAACATCATAATTTAATTGTATACATATTTTTTAATATTTTGGCAGGTTTTCATTTAAGTTTTCAGTTTGACGACTAGTGATTTGGTATACTTTATTAGAATATTGATAATATTTAATAGTTGAATTTTCCATTTTATTTGAAGTGTTAATATGTGTAGTTGATGTTTAAAAATAAAAACACATACGTAGGGTAGTACGAAATTAACAGTACCTACTATTAGTGATATAATATTAACTAAAAAAAACATATTAAATACATGTAGAAAACATTTTTATTTGTATTTTAAGCAATGCAGTAGAAAGGGCGTTGAGCTATAAATATCATCACGTTTACAACAATATTATTGGGCATTATATGATCGTTTTAATATTATGATCGATAGATCAAGACAAGGTGGGATGGATTATGCCAAGTAGTAATATTATGTTCAAACCAGGCTACATTTACATAATAATATACTAAAATATAGTCGATTTTTATGGTAGGTATAAAATATTATGTAATATTTTCGTTTAAAATACGCACCATGTTGATTAATTTCATGGAGCAGCACAGATGATAAGGCATTCTGATAA